CAAGGCAGCAGAAAAAGATCTCAGAGAAGCTGTGAGGTTCAACAGGACATATGTTATATACGAAGAATCTCCTGAACCAGGATCTCACAACTGGAAGATATTACAGGTAGCCCTCCACATTGGCAGGGCTAACTTTTGTGGATTTGATTAATATAATCTCTCTAGTAATCTCCAGGTCCTCCAGTGCAACATGGTGGTCAATCTCTGCTAAAGGTGGACCACAGAACTGCACTGGACCTAATCAGGGTTTTAAAAAAACCCTGATTTTTTCTATTTTTGTGAGGGCTCTGCGTCTCTAACTTCAGCAAATGTGGAGGGCGGACTTGATCCATCAATCTATCCAACCAGGATGCCTAGTAGCCAGATTCAATCAGTTTTTAAACGGCCTCTTCCAGGTGACCACCTACACTACAGCTTGTCATGCTGTCTTTTCAAGTTAGCAATGACAAGGTAGTTCCTGTAGTGAACCATAAACGGAAAATCAACTTCCTTTCAATGGTTTGTCTAGGATTCTGTGCAACTAACAGTAAAACAGCAGTAGTACTACTGTAGGCATATGTGCATGAACATATTACTTCATGTTTTGTTCTTGCATCAAAAGCAAAGCCAAAGATATGCAACGTTTTTGTCAGGAGTATTTACTATATGACCCCAACTGAACCACGGGTCAAAGGAGCTGGATTAATCACATCAGACAAAAGCATTTGATAGATTACAGATAATCCTGTATTTTTGAAAACATGAAAACAAATTAATTTTCTGATCTGTACTGTTGTGGTAGCTACCAACTTTCCTGAAACTGTAAGGGGAATAGAAGTGATTGCATATTTATTTCAGCCATGATGAAACTAAGAGACCTACCATTGCAAGGATGCCACGAATGGCACCCCATCCCTCAAACTGTGGTCACACACACATCTGCAGCAATACATATTGGTATTTTCCACATGAGTTGGAATACAGCTCCCATCATCTCAGTAACTATGACTGTAATTGTAATACTATATATTTCAATGATACTACTCTGGAGAAATCCAGTCTACAGAAAAGAATAGAAACTGGGAACAGAGCTCAAA